ATCTCCTGTTAGTGTTAGAATATTAAACTTATTTGAAAGAAGCCAGTGAAATAAAAGGGAATAAATGTAGATTTGCCTTGGAAATTGAAAGGCAAAGGAAAATCTTCTTGAATGTTTAGATCAATAAAAGAACGACTCTGACCAGCTCGGATACAGACCAGTGGCTCAGAACAAAGCTAGCCATCTAGGACTTTGGACATCTCCTACCTTTGGTCCCAAGCTTTCCTAGTGTGAAAAAAAGGAAAAATTATGGGACGAAAAGGGGACTGACACCAACGCCAGCCTTTATTTTCATATATTGCTTATGCTTCCGGTGTTGCAAGACACTTGCCCCATCCAACCTTGCGGTGCCTGGGAGGAAAGGTATGTTTTCCTACAGCACAGCAATGTAGGCGTGCTCTGTTTGTGCGAGGGTTGGCGATGATGCATGTTCTTTCCGGAAGTTTTTAGATCCTTGATAGTTAAAGATAAAGAACAGATTCTTGGCTCCGTTTTATCTTGGAAATAGGCCATAAAAATAGATTTGGGCATGCTATCAATGCCTGCTTCCTAATTATTTGAAACAGAATAACTTAAAGCAGCTTGGAGACCATTTGAAATTACAAAATCCGTGAGACCGTGTTCCTCCAAAAGAAGAAGTAGAGACCCTGTGCAGATAGATTTGCTGATAGCTCAGTGAGCAATTGTTTACCCTCCTAGTGGCAACTCCAACCCCAGTCAGCTTTGGTCTTAGAAGAATAACTCAAATAAATATTTGGAATGCACAAAGATTTTAATTTTCGATTCTGTCCCAGGAGCCTGTCAAAAGTAACTGCTAGAGCTGGGAGCTACGCAGAATACTCTGACGGCATTAAAGTCTCAGCAAAATCACTTTCCAAAGATTTTATTTTACCTTCTATATAACAGACACACATTGGAGAATTGGAGCCTCCTGTTGGAAAAAACAGTAACTTGCACTGAAGGAAGAGAGTGGTGTAACTGTAGGTAAATATTTTCACTCTAAAAACAGCCAAGAGGAAATACAAGAGAAGGGAGTGAGGTGATGCCCCTGCACAAGTCCTAACTGGGAAAACAGTGTGGGAAAACACATGTGCTAACTGGGAAAATAGATGTGATCTTACGGGTGGGTTGGTAACTGGTGTGACGTAACTGTGGGCTGAAAACAATTAAAAACAGATCTCAGATCTACCAAAAGTACCTTCAGGATGTGTGTCCTCAGACATTGAGCCACTGTAATCATTCAGTCCCTTCACTGAGGAAACAGAAGCCTGAAGAGAGAAAAAAACCCTGATAAAAATGCATGTGGGACAACCTGAAATACAGATTATCTAGAGAAGAAAAAAAAAGGCCTGATGTATTTTTATCTGGAGAAAATTATGGAGTTTCCTGTGGAGTTTCTGTAAGTGACTGGGCTGTAAAATGATATAATCAGGAAGGAGAGAGTCTTAAAGGCAAAATGAAGGCACTGGGGAAGCTTTCTATACAAGAGCCTTGTCAAGCTTCATCTCTAACAAAGACGAAAGACCAAAAGGACTTTGTAGGCTTATTCCTACAAATTTGTGGCTCATTTACAAGGATTTTGTCAATATATTCTAGGATATTAGAGTAGTATGAAAAAATCTGAAAAGTCACAGAAACAAAATAGATGGGCTCAAAAGTGGGAAGACAGATGACTGCATAAACTGAACGTTGAGGTCTCTGCCTATTAGTTCTAGTTAATTAATTTTAATTATTCTTATGTTTTTGGTTCTGGGCTCACAAATATTTATGAGGCACATTTTGATAGGCTGTGCTTTTTGGAAAGAAGAGACTCCACTCTGATATGCAATAGAGTATTTTATGCCTGTTAATGGAGAACTCTGACAAAAATGGTGCTTGTTTTCTCGTTAGCATACCTGCATATATCACTTTATGACAAGCATATGCTTTCTCATTCGGAAAATTATTTTTCTGACATTACATGTAAAGTAAACACAGATGATGTAAGTAGAGCAGAGAGTTAGTATTTTGGATTGCTTATTATTGCTGTTCCCTCCTTCTGTAGAAGAGTTAAGAAGTTTGTTTGTATGTGGGTTTGTTTTACTTTACCCCATTGCCAAAAGAGTGTTGTGAGAGACAAAAGGGACTGAGGCTGAATGTTATAATGGCTTTGTTAGTAGTTTACCTTTGGCATAATTTTGTAGTGAACAAATGCTTAAGGGAGTATTATACGAAATTTGTATTGTAATTCTGAAGCACTAGTATTGCAGAATATTTAAATAATGTAAAAGACTCAAAGCAATTCATAATATGTCCTTAAGAACCCTAGAGAAATGAGGCACATTTGATTAAAAAAAAGCACTACCTTTCAACATGACAGCCAATCATACCAAATGGTACATCTCACTTGATATTTTAAAGATGCAATTAAAGTTGTTCTAAAAAACTGGCTTACCTTGCTCTTAAGATACGAAAGAATAACCTGTTCCAGTCTTTGTCAAAGGCAGATTGTCTTGTGAAATATCAATCCCTTGCATTTTTTGGGCTGGGTACATTAATTCAAAGTGATAGTATCCAAAAGTTTCATACAAGTAACAATTTTAATTTTTAAATACAGAAAGAAACTGGAGGAAGACCGTTTGCCACCAGGAACACACAGCTGCTGTCAATGTTTTTTCCCCTTTAGCTCATAAAAAGAAATCTCTCTTGTTCTGTCTATAGATGTGTTAGCAAAGAAGTGCAGTGTTGATGTTTACTATACTAAAGAATGAAAATCAACTCAAGAAACGGTATATGACAAAAATGCAAACCAGGATAACACAAGGGGAAGAAATTAATGCAATATTTTATTTTTAGCTGAACAGATTAGGTGAGAAAATGTATGTTTTTAAGAGGACTAATCAGCTGGACCACATTCATAGTGGAAGTTATCAGCCCACATGAGCAGTCATGTTTTGTCAGAACACTGTTGAAATCCATAGCTTATAATTAAACAAAATGAAAGCTTGTATTTTTGAAAGTAAGAATATGACTTGTTATTATTCATAAAAACATTAAGTTAGTTTTTGGAATTGCACAAGTGGCACAGCCAAGTATGGAGGCAAGAGGGGATGGGCTTTATAGAAGTCTTGAGTTCAACAGGACGTTGCTTCCTTCGTGTGAGAAATGATGGCCTACATTGCACTGCTCACACTGCTGCCTCATGTCATTAAATCCGATGACACAATCCAGGGCCTGGCCCTGCTGCACAATTTTTTGTGACGCCAATGAAAGTATTTACATTTCTTTTGTTTCAGTTCCTGACTGTAAGAACTGTAAGAAAGAGAAAATAAGTCTTCCTTTTTCCCTGCCTGAGTCTTTATTTGTGCAAGTCTGGGGCAGAGAGCCATTCCTGATTTATGAAGGATGTTAAAGGCGGTGTAATTACTAACTACAGATATTTCCCAACTGCGCAGAAGTACCTGGGGGGTTGGTTTGTACTTTTCCAGGGGAGACCCTACTGACACAAAAAGGGGGTCTTGCCTAAGGAGTTTCCCTAAGGGGTAGAGGAGGAGTTCCTTGCTCGGGATGGTTTCTGGATCCTACTCCACGCGGGTGCAGACGATAAGGGTGCTGAAGCAGTAAGTCTGAGAAGGCAGACAGTCGATTTGTCAACTTTGCTGCAAACCTCCTAAACAAGCTCCTCTGGCAAACTTCATAGGATGTGACTGGATCCTGACATCTCAAAAGTCTTGCTGCATAATTTGAAACACGCCTGTTCATCACTCACGTTTAGCCTTGTGTAATGCATCTCATTAACACCCTCTGGTAAACCTCACTGGAAGTATTCTGGAACAGCTAGTTGTTAGGATGGGACAGAACAGAGTTGCCCAACCTGATTCACACACAGGTTTTCTGCAGCCAAATGATAAACCTAGCATTAGATTTAAAAATTAGCTCTATGTCTTAGACCACAGTGTGCAACTGAAAACTGAGAGGATTTTTGGGGGTAGCTTGTAGTGAAACAGAAACAATCTTAGCTTATTTAGGCTGATGCTAATAGCTCCTAGTAGTCTGTTTTTGTTAACAAGTGCAGTCAAAATGCTGCCAAATTTGGGGGGCCAATGCTGTACGCAGATAATGCAGCTCAGGCCCAACTTCAGCAGTTTCAGAAAGGCGAGGTACAGGAGGAAAATTTACCTTCACTGGTAAAGAGGAAAAAGTTACTTTGAAGGCTTCCAGAAAATTAAAGATCCTCAATAATGCAACATAATTTCGATAAAAGATGATGCCCATTTCGGCTTTAGAGAAAGAGTCCCGGCTCACCCCGTGTTCAGGAGAGCTGAACAGAGCACGTCAATGAGTTCCTTCTCCCGGAACAGGCAACAATTCAATATTTTGCTGTACTTTAAGCTGTCCTGCTTGACACACAGTGAACTTTGATGGCAGAGTTTCTCAAGGTCTGCTGTACATCTAGGTACACAGTCCCAGCTCCTAAGCAGTCTTTTGGATGCGATGTTAAAGTGTTGTTTAAATGCGTTCTTCAGGAAGGAAGGAGGTGTCAGGCAACGCCATTCAAACTCGTTACTTTTATACTTACACTTGTTCCTCAGTCTCCTGACACAGAAGCAATCGGATTCTTCTGAAAGCATGCAAGTGTCCTTTTCCTGAACAAGTAGGCACTATTAGGCTGTCTTTGCTCTTTTTTTCTTTTCTTCACCTCCTTATCTCTCTTCTCTTTTTTATTTTTTATTTATTTATTTTTCTTTTTTTTAATATTCCTTTAATATTCCTTCCTTCTTTAATTTTTTTTTCCTTTTTTTTTTTTTTTTTCTTCTTTTTTGCATGCTCCTCCTAAGATAATTAAGTGTTTCAAAGAGGAATTAGGTAGGACTTTTTTTTCCTATTTTATTATTTTCTGCCTTGACTCTGAAATGCAATCACACTGCGTGGGCATGTTACTAGTAGAATACACATTAGCTGTCACTGTAACTGGGATTCTCAGAAGTGTGACTCCCCTGTACGGCTACAAACTGGCAACACTAATTTGGAAACAGAGGTTTTGTAGCAGGCTGGGCAATTTTTTCATAATCTGTTGAAGGAGCCTGGTTAATAGTTTGCCGCTGACTGAAGAAACTTCCTTTTCCGGACGGTGAGGGCTGCCACCGTGGATAACCACGGTATTCCTCGCCGAGCCTCAGCAAAGCGCCAGGGCTTGCCACATGCTCGGCCGCACGGTTCCACAGCCGCAGAACACAGACCTAGCAAGGAACAGTTCAAGGAAATATTTTTCAGCACATTTTCTTAGCAGCAGCCTAAGATAATCAATATAAATCCCATTTCTATCTCATGTTAGGTCAAAGCATGAGTTCTAGAGACTGAGGACATGAAGCATGTGTTATCAAATGAGTTTTTAAAAAACTACTAGTTGGTGACTAATTATTAAATTTTAAGACATATTTGCCTTTATCCTCAGACTCTATTAACATTTTAATTTGGACCGGGAGTGAGCTTTTGAAGGGAATCTCTCACTCCATTTTTCACACTTACCACACTTTGGTTTACATGACGGTGTACATGATGTATCAGGGCACATCAGCTGGATTCACTTTGGTTAAAACTGAACCAAGAGGGGTGCTCCACAAGTGTACCTAACGTACTGCAGATGGCAGTGAGTGCCCAGTCCATGGGATCGCGTTGGAGTCAGCCTAAAGTACCCGGCCAAAGCAAGGAAACTGTTGCACTGTGCAGAGCTGTTTCTGCTGCGCTGTGCTACGTGCTAATGCAGATATAGGCACATGAAACCTCAGTTTGGGAGAAAAACTTGTAACTTGCTTACAAGTGCAGGGCTACACACACCCACACCCACATCCACACACCAGTTTCAGATTTGATATCTCCCTTCTTTGGGGAAGTCTGGCTGCAGTGCTGAGCTGGGAGGAGTAACTGTTGTCAGTCAAACACCTAGGTTCTGCCATGAAATTTGGATTAGGCTCTTATTTTCAGTGCATAAACCCACTTGCTTTAAGGGGTATGACACCATACAAAGGTGTTTGGGGTGCTTTTTCACTTTTTCTGCCAGTTTCAGATTTGATATCTCCCTTCTTTGGGGAAGTCTGGCTGCAGTGCTGAGCTGGGAGGAGTAACTGTTGTCAGTCAAACACCTAGGTTCTGCCATGAAATTTGGATTAGGCTCTTATTTTCAGTGCATAAACCCACTTGCTTTAAGGGGTATGACACCATACAAAGGTGTTTGGGGTGCTTTTTCACTTTTTCTGGTTTTTGTTTGTTTCGTTTATTGTTCTCCCCTTCCCCCCCCCCCCCCCCCAGACCCACAGAATGCAACACCATTGGATTGTGTACTCACACATTTCCATTTTCCCCAGATACTATTGTGACTTCTTCAGCTCCCATACAGCCTCTCTGTACGTGACCTTGATGCTTTTTCCAAAGAAACTCAACCTTCGAAATGTTCCCAGAAATTTCTGTGTCAATGTAGTTCAAGTATGTGTTGCCTGGTTTGAAAGCTCCTCTGTCAAAAAAAAAAAAAAAAGAAGAGAAGCAATGCTCTGTTCTTCACAAATCAGGAAAAAAATTGTACAGTTTAGGCAGGAGATGAGTTGCATGATGCTATGAGAGTTGGAGCTTTGAATACTATTGTTATAATTTTATTACTTTTTTTTTTCCAAGAATTACTAATCAGGGATGTTAGGCAGAATTTTAGCTTTGAACGTGTTCTTGGAGAATATGTTCCCTGGGGAACACACAGGGCTCTTGATGCAGAGCTTCACTCAGATTTGAGACTTTCAGCTCAGGGTATCATGTCTCAGGTCCAGAAACACTAAGTTCTGTCCTCTCTGCTGACTAGTCCTTCAGGCCATGTAGCAAAGCCTTTTATAAAGTCATTGAACCCTAGATTTTTCATACATAATATATATCAAATACTTTTTTTGACAAACATTGTGACAGTGCTAAACTTAAGAGAAGATTAAAAACCCCCACAAAAAATGTATATATAATGCACCTTTAATTTAACCTTTTTCATAAGGATTAAAAAGGAATGTCTTGTTGAGATTTGGTTGATTTCTTCTGCCGAATCAGTATTGCAATTTCTTGTCTTCCCTGAAGCTATTGTGGTGATGCTGAAGCTGCCTCATCTCTCCCAACATGACTTATCCTGAATACCTGGAGCAAGTTCTGAGGACTAAGCATCTTTTTTTTTTTCTGTCTGTGGCTGAAGTCTGTGGCGCAGATACTAGCTAGGCAAAGTGGTGAAGGCCAGAAAGTCTTTGCGTTAATCTTACTTGAGGAAGCAGAGGAAACACCGTTCCTGCATATCTAGGGAGGTTGTTGTGTATCCCACTACAGACTTTCAGCCTATCAGGCTGAAATATCTATAAGTTTGTTGGTAGGTAAGGAGGAGATAGCAACTCAGAGGGATCTACAAAAGTATGCAAATGCTTAGTTGATTCCTATGCCTTTCAGGATGAAAAGACTAGATTAGTTAGCCCAGCCTTTGTCAGTATTGCCATGGGGCTTATTCTAGACATTATTTTTGGAAAAGGAGATCTATCTTCAGACAAGACCAAGTCAAAAAGTTCTTTCAGTGTTTCTGCTTGCTCTCAACCATGAAGAAAACTGAAAATTATAGTTTATGTCCACGCCTTCCGTGGTATCAGTGTTCACTGTAACAGAATGCACATTACAGCGGGACATTAACACAGAAATTACCTGCAGGTGTATTGCTGCAGTAGTGTATTTGCAACCAGAGGTACTCCTGGTACAGACGTAACAGGGCTGTGTTCAAACACAGAGGAGGCTGGTTTTATAGTATTTAAACCGTGCTCTTGACAAGGATCAGTTTATGAGATTTAAATTCACATTTGCTGGAAAAAGCTAGCCTGAGTGGACAGGAATCGTGGATTCCAGCACAGTTCACAAGCAAGCTGCAGCTTTCTTACTCCCGTGTTCCCCACGGGAAGGAATAGTTAAATGACTGTACATCATGCAGCTCTTTGTCTTCTCAGGGAAGATCACTAAATTATGTTTGAGTCCAGCAGTAGCCACAGAGCTCCTTGCTCTTGCCCATTTTGTTATGCTAATCATCATCCTCAGAAAAGAATATACAGAGCAAGAGACCAGCAAGCAGACTTTGACCACAATCTGTACCATGAGGAACTTCAACCACTTACCAACTGCTTTTATTACCAGTGTAAATCACAAATCAGACAGAATAAGATGAGACATGTAAAAAGAGCTGTGTATAAATTCAATATGATAACAATGATAGGGGCATTTTTTCAATAGTCATGCTAAACTTACTTGTCAATTGTATATTTCTTCCTGATCCCATTAGTTCCAGTCAAGGCTACATCTATATTTCCCTTCATGGTTTCTGTTGCAGATACTCTGACATGTATTTCTTTTCGCCAGCCTTTGAAAGCAAAATGAAACAGATTATGGTTGTAAAGAGATTTCTTTCCTAACGGTAAAATTTCTCATATGTTTCAATGTCTTTCAGGGAGAGGAAAGGATTGCTCAAATGTGCTTGTAAGCAAACAAAATGTCACTATTAAGGCAAATGTTAGTTCTGTGTAATTCTAGTAGTATTAATTTCCTTGACAGTCTTCTAAATCACAGATCCAGTCTTTGATGACTTACTGCCTATACTAGGTATTTAATCTGCCGTGGCCAATACTGTGCCTTGCTCTTCCACTTGGCCTCACTTTTAATTTGGTAATTTCTTACACTTATGAGCAATTTGGGGGGGCCTCATGGGTAGCATGTTAGCTCTCAACTATGAAGTGAGGTCCACTGGACTGCTGTGTTGTTAAAGATATATTAAACAAAACTGCCTGCTTTCCCAGGATGATCCTGACATACAGAGTGTTTAGGGCTTTTCTTATACCTGTGCGCAGCCGAGCAGCTGTCAGGAGACCCTCACCCCACATGTCTTTCTAAGCTAGAAATGGCGTCTCAGATGCAACAGCACACTTTGATTTCGAGCAACGAGGTTTGGGAAGTTTTTGTACTGGCTTTAGTTTGGGCTATTAAAAAGAGAATCTCTCCACCCACTTCATAAGGTTATATTTGGTTTCAGGCTATAATTTCTATAAACTCAACAGTTTGTAAATGTTGAAATCAATCTATTCGTACAACTTTGAGAAGTGGCTAGTTCCTGTATACTCAAATGATTTTTTTTTTCTTTTTGCTCTTTTGGAGACATGGTATAAGATTTTTTTTTTTTCTTCTTAATTTTGCTTTCATATTTTAGTGCCGGGTGAATAAGGACCTCAAAAGTCCTCTGTCATTTGTTGCCCTCGTAGTTCATCACCTGTGGTGGATTATAATTTATTTACAATTTTTCATATTTTCCAGTTCTGTGGATGCTTCTACGTTAATCACAATTAAAACTGTACTTCTTGTTACTCCCTGCCATTCTGACTTGATGAGCTTTGCAAAAATATCCTGAAATGATACAGTTTTATAAATTTTTGTCAATAAAAACAATGTAGCTTCTTTTGATTTGAAATTTTGCGCTTTCAGCATAACATTCCTTTCACCTTTACCTTTATAGAATTTTTGTAGCAAAATTTTAGCAGGTTTCTAACTCAGAGCTCAGCATCAGTTGATCTGTTTCTATAGTTATCTCAGACTTTCCCAGATAATGCTGGTACTGCATGTTCCTAACACACCTGAAACTCTAAATTTTGTACTGAGTGCTGCCCACTAACTCCAGCAGCTCTCTGTAAAAGTGTAAGGTATTTGTTGACACAGAGTGCCTTGCCACTTTAGAATTCACCACCGAAAACGAGCACTTACGAGCATATGGAGGGGAGGGACCCGTGTTTAAATAAACCTTTTGCTGTTCTTTTTCAGTTTTATGTAGAAACTTATCAGCATAATGACCCATCAGTGGGCATCCTTCCTTTGGACATGGGAAGCAGTCTCCCTGGGGGAAAATAATATTGTCTGTTACAAGATGTTATCTGTTTTATTCACCCTTCTTAAAGTTTAAGAAATTAGGGTATTTCAGCTTTTCAAAGTACTTGCTTCTGAATTCAGATCATAGATTCAGTATTTATCAGTGTGGTGAAAAAAGGAGCCGAGATGGTCAGTGAGCTTATTTCATCTGGTTGAAAATCAGAGAGAAACATATTGAAAATCTGGTCTAATTCCTTACGCTCGTACAGAGACTGTAAGTAAATAACTTAATGCATGTTGTGCCTTACTGCCTGATCTGTAAAATACAGGTAATATGTTCATCTGTCATAGGGTCCGTTGAAAGGTTGTCTGCTAGTTATTACAGGGTGGGTAACCACATTTGCAAGGAGGTCTGGCTGGACAGCTCACTCATATGGTAAAGATATTTAAGCTTAGGAATACTGAACACATCGCTTTGGGATGTGTTCTGTCTACTTCTCAGCCTTTATTCCCATGCAGAACCTTAATGAAATTAAGCTACCTACATAGATCAAACATTCAGATCAAGACCTTGATGTCCATTAAAAAAAAAGATAAGTGTGTATATTTTCAGTGAGAGTGATTTTTCAATTGCAGTTGAAAAATAACATTGTTATATTTAGACAGTTCAGTTTTGGTATTTGGGAGGTTCTGTAGGAACTGGTATTTGTGGACCTTTAGCTATTTGGGCATTAGATGAATAAAAGGCTAAATGATCATCATTACTTGTTTATTATGAGATTGAAAAAACCCATTTCCTTTGCATCACTAAATTGCACAGGGTTGAGGTTTTCAAATCCTGAATTACATCAAACTTTCAAGTTATATGGCAACATTGCTGTAAATATTAACAATGTTTCTGCAGTATTGTAACCATTCCTTTTGGGAGTAGATGGAAATAAATTCAGACTCTTCTTCCTTCTTGACCAGTCCTCAGTTGCATTGCCAGAATCGGTCCACTAAAAGTCCAGTTATATCAGGCATGAAACCCCAGGACATTATGCTGCCTTCGTTCTTGTGCCACCTGAGAGCTGTGTGAGCAATGCTGTGCTGTATATCTTCCCTGCCCTATATACTATGAATATTTACTGTTTATACAGCTGTTTAAACATTTCTGAAATCCAGAGGCTGTCCTCTTGATGATGGGTTCCGTCAGGTTTAGATGGACTTCCTTCAAAGTCCCTTACTGCTGATCTATGCAAAAGGTGAACCCAGCCCCTGCCTCTCATTGCCCTCTCACTCAACTCTTCATCTCTCCCTTTGCAACTGTTTTTGGTGTTTATATTTACTGCCTTATTTTATTCTAGGGTTTTTTCTTTCTGTTGGTTGGTTGGTTTCTTTGAGTTTGCTGCTTTTACATTTTTGCCTAGTTTTAGGGTAAGGTCTGGATGAAGGCAGCCAGTGAGTCTGCATAGCCCACTCTGTATCCCATGATCCAGAACATAGATGTCATCCCAGAAATAAAGAGAAGGGCAGGGCTATAACCCCTCAGATAAATGTGTACCTGGTACTTACCAAGACAAAAGCTCGGTATGTTTCACACTGATACCCAACAAATCCATTCGGAGTGATAATACTCTCAGCATAGTACTGGAGACTTCTTTTATGTCCACATCCAATAGATCTATATTCTGGGCAAAAGCCCGGGTAAAAAAAGATTAAAGCTATATATTAACATAAATTCCATGCCAAAGCAACACTTGTGGGTCTTTTTTCCTCAAAAACACTTGTACATATAGTGATATCTCAGATTAAAAAATAATAAAAGACATATAAAATGCGAATTTTTGGGGTTTATAGTAAAGAATGTACTTAGGGCTACATATGTTTTTTCAACAGGGAAGAGCTAGGTTCTAATCCGCATGAACTTGTGTTCATGCTGAAGTTAACAAAGGTGGAGATGCACCGAGGCGGAGCTCGTGCAGCCTCCTGTCCTGCTATGTGTACTTAACTGCTTTTATTTTAGCGTGACACCTGAGGAGGATTTAGGAGAATTTTCCTTTGATATTTCAAAGACTGGAATAATTCATAGCTACAGCATTTGCAAAGCATATAGGAGTCACTGTGAAGTGGTTTTCATTTGCTTACCATTATCACAACATGGTATTTTGCAAAACCACATTTTCCACTCATTTCTAGAATTAAAGGTAATTGTAGTAATTATTTTAACGTCAGTGGCTTTCAATGTTTTTAAGCTGTAGAAAATCTGCGGTCATTTGACAGTGGTGATTCTGTGAAATGCTCTGAAAAGCAAGATGTTTGGCAGCGTGTCCTTGATTTTGTCAGAATTGTTTGAAACAAGTACGTTTTCCCATCAGAGTGAAATTTATAAGCAGTCAGTGCAAGAAAGAAGAAAGTGCTATTTGAGTTATATTTACAGGTCCTGTGTAACAAGTGTTGTCTTCATTGGTTCTGAAGTCCCTCCTTTGTCAAAGCACAATATACTAAAGTTAGGTCATATAAAAATAGGCTCTACTCTGCTTCAGCATGTGTGTGGGCTCACCTAATCACAGGGTGAAGCCTTGGAGGCACTGAAGTAGTTGCAGACTGGCACAGTTTATAGTGAAATCAGAATTTTACCTACTGTCGATATCTATGCATCTTAAAGACAGACCAGCTGGTATTGACCAGTTGACACATATTGTTCTTTACATAAGGAAAGAAAAAAAAACCACCAAAACCCCTCTGAAAAGTATTTTTGTCTGTTTTTCTTGAAAATAATCTGCATCATCAAGGCTTCCTGAGTATGTTTTCTTCATAGTTCCTTCTTTAAATCCAATTCAGAAAGGTCTGTGCTTTTAACTTTAAAAACCTCAGCTCTTATGGGTGGCTTGGTTTGTGCTGGTGCCAAATTCACTTAACATCTATACAATGGGAACATAATACTCCTCTCCCTACTGCATCAAACCTGTAGAAAGAAGTCACTAAATAGCATTTCTATAGCACTTCATACATAAAAACACTACATGAATGTAAATATTAACAAACAGAAGAGGTATGCATAAAGTAAGGTTTAACCACGAGGCAGGAGTTAAGGCTGTTTCTATTTTTAGGACATGCATAACCAACCAACTCCATCTGCTCATGTTCAATAGAACTGAGCTTCTCCTTCACCAGAAAACATTGCAAACAGCCTTGTGGTATGCATCCGGAAAATATTTAATTTTTTTGCTGAAAATGCAGACATGTTTATGGAGTCTGATTGGAAAGCGTTTTGGTTCCAAGTGACTTTGTGCACAGCCAGCTTTCAGTCCTCTTTGTTACTAAGTTCTCCAACCAGTTCTAAGACAGAGCATTCTTGAAAGCAAATTACTTAACTAGTGGTGGGGATTTCAGAACATTTAGCTGTGAATAACAGATGTTCTCATTTCTGTAGGTTAGGATCAGAAGACAGGATTTTTGGGATCTATTGTACTGAATCCCAGGGTAATTCTGATTAACTGCCCAGCTTTCTTTGAAGAACATGAACTATCACTGGAACAGTCATTTTATCATCTTCTGTATTTTTAACCTTGCGCTGTTCCCTTTGAAGACACTAAAGCTGTTAATGGCATGGATAAGTAGGTCTAACTCCAGTAATATTGGGACCGATATCTTTCTAGGGAGAAGGGAAGCTCAGATTTTAAACCACTAATTTTTGGATTATCCTTGAATGAAATTTTACCAATCCTTCATGCACGGAATTCCCACTGAGGTCAGTCTGTCAGCACAGTGGCAGGCTCTTACAAAGGTTGTGATGAACAGATCTGCATGCTTTAACTGAAGTTTCCATCTGGAATTTGCCTTGGTTAGTAAAAAAGAAAATTGGAGGGTATTTCACAGGCAGCTTTAAACCCTCTATTTTTGAGCGTTCTCCCTCTACTCCAAATCTGAGCTATAGAAATAATATATATATTCAAAAGGCTTTAGCTAGCCTTTATTTCTAATTGTAGCTTATAATGAGGTATTACTTCTTTAAAATATACTTACCTCTCATAAGGTCATTGATATTCCGAGCTGCAGGAGGCACATGAAGCTGCTTGCATCCTGGCATCTTCTTCCCACCATTTGGGTAAAAATCCAGGTGGCCAGAAGTCTGAAGAATCCCTGGAGCTGAAACACACAATGAATTGAGGCTGATCACTCTCAGGTACGCTGCGGATAGCTTCTGTGTTGGTGTCAGCCCTTCCGTGAAAACTTACCAAAGTCAAAGAAAAGATGACCAGCATGAGTATGAATTATATCAACAAATTTTGCATCTGAAGGGTCCAGCCTAACTGTTGTAGGAGTATACTGGAAAAGGGGCCCAGCTGGATCCAAACCTAAATGAATAGAGATATGTCTGATTCAGTAAATAATAACGTATGTATGTCATCACATAGAGTGTACACACACTGTAGGTCATTACATTTCTGCCTTTACTCCACTTATAAAAATCCATTTTGTGGTCCAAAACAAGCAGGGTTTTAACAGAAAGGTGGCTGAAGGCGCTGCAGCACAGTAAAAAGCTGTTGGGTGCTGTTGGGTTGTTTTTGCATGTTAGTGAAAAATATGAAATCTTGATATGTTAATCTGAGTGTGTGGATTTGTTTGAGAATTTTTCTTTAGTCAAAAATCCATTTTTATTTCCAAAAGAGCTTGGTTGAAAATGTTACCCCCTCATTTCAGTGTCAGTTAGCTCTCTTCGCAGCTAAAGCAATACAGTGCTGAACCCAGTTTGTCTGAATTGCTTATGTGACTACTTACTGCGCTCACAGCTTAGTCAAAACAGTGTCTATGTAGAGAAAAGAAAGCAGAAAATAGTAAGCCTTTAAAAAAAATTGATGTGTGAGTGTGTCATGACACTGTGTCTCTGTGTAGCTATGCGACTAGGAGCTTTCTGCGTTTTCAGGGTGTCCACGGCTATTTAGTGTCTCATCATGACACACTAGGTCTGGGTTTTTCATTTTTCACTTCAGATTTCCAAGTTTTTGAACTGCTGACAAGTTAGAATGGGCTTTTAAAGCCAAATATGATGAGTTGTTAATGTTTCACAAGTCTCTTATTCCATATGTGATGCAGTATTTTGTTCCTCTTATTTTATATCAATAAAAATCATAACCAAGTGCTCCTTGGGATTGTGATCTGTGATAAGTGACCTCTATTTAGCCACAGTCAGGACAGTTAAGCCTTTCTGATCTGTTGCAGTCAAGCCTGTCTCAGAGCTGTGAACCTTGACATGTGAAATGTATGGCATGTGATAGCACATGGCGTCACTTGTGTGCCATCATGCTAGCTGTGTACTGTGAATTATGACAAACCAGCACCTTGTGGTCTGTATTGTGTGTTTAGAAGGCAGCAGTGATTCTTCAGTTCTCTTAAGTTGCATGAAAATATAAAGATTCATCAGTTGAAGTAGCTTTGGTACCTGTTATTCTTCCTATGCCAGGTTTCCTTCTCCCTGCCTCCCCCGCAGCATGTGCTCCAAGACTATGGCCGATGAAATGAATGTTGGCAGGAGAGTAGCCATAGTCTTTCTGTGATGATGTATGGAAAGGAAAAACCAAGTGTGTTAAGTGGGGGATACAAGGCTGCAGCACCGCATCACAGCCTCGTGCTGTGCCAGGATGTGGCCAGACCAGCGGGCAATGGCGAGGAGTGTCTTGAGTGAGAAGTTACTGTTGCAGGTAGTGGAATCTGTACCTCTAAAGAGAAGCAGTTCCCAACTCATCCCATCCTCTCTCATATCATGCCTCTGGAAGGGGGTAACCTCTGTCAGGAATTTGCCGTCATGATAGAAAAGAAGGAAAAGGGAATTGCTGCACATGGCTCTCCTACATTTGCACTGATTGCTTATCCAAAAGATGAATGACCCCACTGCCTCACCCCTGTACCTGTCTGTCCGGTCAGGTGGAGTTTTCAGTGCCTTTGTCTGTGGCATACCCTCTATGTGAATCAAGCGGCCATCCCGCTATGGAGATGCTCCACCACACAGGTCCTGCAGGACGGGGAGGACCATGCCAGGAACGCTGCTGGTGTGCCAGGCTCAGCTGAGCTTCTGCCTGTGAAGCCTGACACCGTTGGCTGCAGGAGGGCTGCTTCTCTGCACTGCAGTTCAGTTCTTTCAGCGCGTGTGACCCACCGAGGAATGTTTTAACTGTGTTGGTCCCTTTACCACTCTTCACCCTAGCAGTTTTGCTAGGCAGTCTCCAATCACGTCTTACCCAGTAAAAAGCCCATCATGAGCAAAACTTCCAGAAACTGTGGCCTGTAAGCCTTTAGGGACATGCTCATCTGCAGTCTGACGCTAAAGTTGGTGTTCCCATTTGTGCAGGATTAGAGACTTTTTGTGACATTTTCAGCTGCGTTATTGAGTACCTCTGTACTTCCTAACTCAATGGTATCAAACCTAACGGTGCCACCCTGAACACAGCCTTTACCATACAGACCATGCACCAGCTTTCACATTCCACAGCTACTTTTACCTCAAGAAGGTTCACCAGACAGACCAGCTCAGCCCCTACAACACGGACATTGTTAACTGCGTCAGTGTACAAACCGCTAGAGCCACCTCTCCAGTCAGTCAAAATGCAGTTCACATCTTCAGTATGAAACATGGACTGATGGAAAACATGAAACAGAAGCAAACAGTCATGAATTGTAATTGTAGCAGGCTATATGCAAACAATATTTTGTTTTCCTATAGGTGGGGGCTCTGTTTATGTGACTGGTAGAGACACATCTTTAGTGATTCAATTCCTGTTACTACTGAAGGATGAACATAAGGAAGCAGAGCAGAAGCAGTGATTTGAACACTGTATAAAGACACACAGAATCTTCCTTAAGTTCTGTTTTCTATTCCAGATGCCTTGGTTGGCTTTAGGGTATCAACTCTTCTTAATGACAGTACCCCAGTGTCTACATTTAGCCTGTATCTGGGGCTAAACTCTAACAGTTGCTCTGTCACCTGAGAACCCCTCACCAGCCAGGGAGGGGAATTGGGAAAAGGAGCAGAGATCTGTCGGCTGAAGTCAAAACAGATTTAATGAGACAGCACTGAGGTATAACACCTCACCAACAGAGGTATACAAAGCTATACTCAGCCAAAGGAATATGCAGCAGTCACAAGCAACAGGGGAGCAGTCCTTAGGAGCAGGGAGGACACCAGTCAGAACCCCAGCAGAAACCCCACAGGAGCTCTCTCTCCTCAGCAAACCTTCCCCCTTTACAATGACCATGACGTTACAGTGTGGGCTACCCCTGCAGCTCACTCAGGTCAGCTGCCCTGGCTGACTCAAACTGCTAACGGCCTGCCAGCAGGGCTGGGCTGGGATTCTGTCCCAGCCAAACCAGGACACCCAGTTAGAAAAAGATGATAGTATGACTTTTTTATTGTCCAAGCTTTATTCTTCAAAATTCATATGCTTGGATCATCTTGTTGAATGTTGAAAAACATTCACAAATTTGTGTTCATGTGCTTGAATTGTTCAGCCCCAAAGTTCACACATTTTACCGAAATATTCTATTTATACGCTTCAGGCAAAGGGACATTCTGGTTTTTTATTCTGAAACAATTTCATTTTTTAAATGTGTCTAAATAACTGAAATCAATCTGCCGAACAAAACATTTTGTTTTTATTAGATCAAATACCTCACTCAAATGGAAATGTTTATTTTGACCTTTTGCTGAGATGAGAAAAGTGGCTTTTTCTTTCCCTTTATTATTGGCAAGGAATTGAAAAATCGATTAATTATATCTTTCCCTGCGGAGGTAAATGAAGCAAAAGGTCACTTAGCAGAAGGCTGAAGTGCACTATACTCATAGCTAGGAACAAGAAGGGGGTCATGTGGAACTAAGCTTCATTCTGAGGTTTTTTTTCCCCTCATATATTCCCTGAAATAACAAGAGAACAGAGGTGTAAATTTTATGTGGGAATTTTAAGAGAGTTTATGGGGTGATGTGGGTATTTGCACTTTCAGATACAAGTAAAAGGACTGTCAGACAATAGTCATACCATACCCTGCATATATTTGTTATCCAGGGGAGATCTGCTCCAGCAAGATGGCCATGAATAATGAAGCGAGTTTTCCTGTGTGTTCGGAAATTTGAAGCTCTGATAGTGGAAGGATTTGTAGCAGAAATCTTCTGTGTCCGAAAAAAAAATCAACCAATAAACAACACAACAAGCACCTGACTATTCCATCCTAGTGTACATTTTGATACGGGGCAGAGAACCCCAATGGTTAAGGCGTAGTTCTGGACTCTGAAGAGATGGGTCTTGTTCCTCACTTGTAAACTCCTTGCTGGGGGATATCAATTAATCGCTTCAACAAATGATTCACTTCCTCTAGTTAATTGAACTAATGATACCAGCATCCTTTGCACAATGCTTTGAGATATACTGGTACAACATGCCATGTAAATACAAGGTTTTATCAAACTTGGCCATACAAATATGACGACAGCAGCTTCTGCAAGGTATTATGCAGTTGACTTTGAATCTATACCTGGTTTTCTTTCTTTCACCTTTGAAGACAAGACCTTCATTGCTAAGCTTATTTATATTTTATGAGAAAGACCACCAGGCTTACAACATCAGAGGCTGTAGAAATTTTGGGGTTTATTGAGAAGGAAGGCACTCTCTTCTTTTAAAAAAAATCTGGATACTGTGTTTTAAAACTTGGCTCTTACTTATTTTTTTTATGATTTCATAAGCTTAAAGGGGCTGTCATGCACAAATTAGCACACATCTCACCTTCAGTGAAAGACTGATAAGGTTAAAACCTCATAAGCCCTTTCAGCTGGAGATGTTGGACTTGTTCTGAGGTGACTCAAACAGGAGAAATCATTAAACATCTCCACTGCTTGTGACTGCCATTTATATTAAAAAAACCATACATGAAGCCTTTTTCATGTAATGTAAGCCAACAACAGCAACAAATTTCTCCCCCCCCTACGCCTTTTTGATATTAATTTGCATAATTTTTCTTGCTCTTTGTCCAAATAAAATTCACATTCTCTAATGGTCATTTGTCTTCTTTCACCACACTAGTCTGTAGCTCCACTAAACTGCTTCATGTTGTGGATGAGCCCAGACACTTCCAACACCTTGAGCATCCTGCTGTGACCTTTTCCCAGTACTTGCTGATCTTCAGAGGAAAGGGCTGACACACTGTTGGCATTAGTACATTCCCATTTGGTCCATCCTAAACAGTCCTGCAGGCTCCTTTTAGCTACTTCCATTTATCACTGTTACAGTCCAGAGCTTCCCCTCACTGCCACTATTTTGTAGACATTGTAGATATCCTCTCTTTTTAATTTTTTTCTTCTATACATCTCCAGTCTCTGCTGTCTCTAAGCTTCTCTACCTGCTATGTCTTCATGAGGGGTAAACTGATTCAGGTCTCTGTAGGAGAAACCTCCAAGTTCTCTCCATCGTGTATCTTACCAAGGCTTTTTCTTTAGCTTTTTATTCTCCATTTTTCCTCAGTCCCAGTCTTCCCAAAAAAAGTGTTTAATATTTGTTTATTTTCTTTTTCCATCCCCATTTCATTCTCTTTTTGGTTGTTTCCTTCTTTTTCCACATATGATTTCATTATCTTCATTTTTCTTTAGCCTGTCATTTTCCTTTCTAAGCTTTCCTTTAAAGTTTCATCCTATTATGCTTCCACTGTCTGGTGAACACAGATACTTTCTCTTCTGATCTTCACTCTTAACTATCTACCTGCTTTTATGGCTCAGCACTGGCCACCACACAATCAGAGCCTCCGAGACCAATTGTACGTAGTTTGGAGGATTTAGTAATCGTGTATATGAACCACATCCCTGAGTCGTGTGTATGGGCCTGAAACATGTTTTTAATCTGGAGGCACACAGGAGCCAACATTGACCTTTCCTACCTCTGGCTTTATAAAGTGAAACCTGAAACTGAATTTGGGCCATTAGCTAACTCTAGAGAAGTATATAAAATATGTCCAAAATATCTCAGAGGACTTGTGTTAGAAGGCTGGGATTAATATGTCTTAAATATACCTGGCTCATCAGAGAGCCAAAAATTCTGATGGATTGTTTGTGTGTAATATAGAATTGGGGCTTTTTCTGGGAGACTTATGAGCAAAAATATGGGAGAAAAGAAACTGTCCATATAATTTGTTGAATGTGTTGCACACTATCCATATTCAAAACCAAAGCAGTTTCTTACTTGATATTTCATGATGTTGTCTCTAGTGTAAAGAAGGAAATTGGTGTTCACATCTTCTGGAGAGCTGGGCAAGCCTGCCAGTTCTCTCCCTGGGATCCCAGACCAAGGGGGGCTATCTGTAAAGCATCCAAGCCTTTTGTAGCAAACTTCCCTTCCTGAAGTGTGCAAGGAAAAAGGTTAGTGTTCTGGGGAAATAGCAGGTTAGGCCGCCACCACTGTACAAGAAGCTGGCAGGATAGTGTTTATACCAGGGAAGCAGACAATGGCTGATTCAGGTTAGGACGGCACTTGCGTTCATTATCCATTAAGGGGCTCAGTTGTGCTCTTGTGCCTTGTGCATG